ATGCACTGGCTGGGTTTCACCAGTCAGCTTAACTAAGAGGATTCTGGCCAATAAGGAGAAAGAGGTGCCTCCCGAATGCAGAAGGATTTAGCACCCTGAACACCAGGACACTTTATCTGGAGCAAAGCACAGCGGTTATGAGAGCCATTAAATACTCCAATGAAATCCATTGTTAGCAGCCCCAACAAATGCACCTCTGGGAAGTTATTCTTTGCCATCTCGTCTTGACCCTTGACCCCAGATGTTCCAAGGCCTGATGGCAAGGCTTCAAGGATGGCCCCAGTGGCAGCCTGGGTGTCTGCTCACAATCTAACTAAGCCCAGAGAGGTCATCAGTACAGAGAAGGTGGGCTATCAGGTGATGAAATGGCCACCGCAACTATACATGCAATGACACTGTAGAATAATTGCTGATTTTACCGATGGGAGGAAATCAATAAAGACTAGAGACGGGCACAAACTCTCACTTTGGCAGTTCATGCTGGTTCATTTCTCACCCGAACAGGTGTTTGGCACTTCCCAGCCCTGCCTCCTCTGGCAGCCGGCCACCCAGAGGCAGCCCCCCCCCCTCCAGCTTCCCTGCCTCACCTCCTCTGGGCACTGCCTCTGAGTGGGCGCCTGCCAGGGGAGACAGGGCTGGGAAGCGCCAAACATCCATTTGGCCAAGAAACAAACCAGCACAGTGGTTCAGGCCCATCCCTAATGCAGACTACGTGGCTTTAAATCAAGTCTGTGCCTTGCTCTTCCTCCGCTCCATATTCCTGCTTTTGTTCTTGCTTCTTGAAGCGATCTGGAGATCTGAAAAGCATACACATATTTGGCCCTTTTGAGTTGGCCTAATGAAGGTTGAAGGCATTGAAAACCAGTGTTGTATAGCGGTCAGAGTGTCAGACCAGCACTTAGGAGATCTGGATTCTAATCTCACGGAAACTCACTAAGAGAGACTCTGTAGTAAACCCTTCCTTGAACATCTCACATATTTTGGAAACCATATTAGGGAGCAGTCATAAGTCAGGTGTGACTCGAAGGCATGTAGCAACAACAATGGAGGTCTTACTCCAGCATGGCTCATGGAAGATACATTTCGGATATTCAAGGACAACAAGTTCCATTTTTAAAACAGGAATGTCTCCTTCCTTAAATAACCAATGGAGAAATTAATATTTTAAAACTTGCCTTCATTCCAGCAACGCCCTGAGGCCCCGGTTCTCCTGGAGGTCCCGGCTCTCCCTAAATGAAGGGACACACACACACACAAATGGGAAGTTTGTTTTAAGACTCTAGGTCCACGTATTTCGTAGCCTGTGTCAGGAAAAGTAAAGATTCCTGTGGTGTCAGAGGGAATGGGCTTATTTTATTGCAATGAAATAAATTAAATATCCTTAAGTATGTGCATGTTTAAGGTGCCCAGTGACAGCCCTCCGCGTGGCTCCTGTTTAGAGATTCTCACAGCATGCTGCTGCCCCTTACTGACAGAAACAAAATCGCACAATCATGAAAAGCAGTTCCTGTTTCGGCCCAGATTCCAAGCAACGAAGAGAAACCAGCAAGCCATGGGTAAACAATAACTGAACAACAAAAAGTGTATCATTTTTTAAAAAACAGCTTCAACATCCTTTTTCCAAACGACTCATGCAAAACAGCTAGCCAGTTTGTGTGACATTTTTTTTAATTCTATCATCTAGTGTTTGGTAGTATAATTAAGGGTCAGACTTAGAAGAGAGATTAAATGCATCCTGCAAAATTCATTCAAAATGAGGAAATAGCTGCTACAAGGCGAGGCAAAACAGGATCTGAATCTCTCTATCTATCTCTGTCGCTCTGCCAGACATAATGCTGACATTGATTTCACTTCAGTAACGCCACCTCCAAGGAATCTTTTTCTCAAATGGCAGTACTGGGTGGGGATTATCTGGGAACACAGGATCTGAAGGGAGAAAATTTCCTTCCCTGCCTGCTATGGTCCTAATCCTGCCATTATGGGAACTTACCCTTTATAATGCATGCCCACTAAAAGCTTTAAAGACTTGATCCTTGTGCCTTGTTTGGCCTCAAGCATCTTTCCCAACCAGTAACCCTCTAGATATGTGAAGCAACAGTTCCCATCACAACGAAAAAGGCCTTATTATTAGCAGTCACAACTTTTAATGAAGTCCCTCTGTGCATGCGCAGAATATCGACCAGATAGCCGGGATATATATATATATAAACAAACAAACCCATCCCTCAGTACCAAAGAAGTATATCCTGGGGAAAAAAGGAGGGTGAGACCTGATTGTTACTTGGAGTTCTTAAGCAATTCACAGAAAGCAAAAACAGAACAAGAGCCAGCAGAGAGAAAATGAGAGCCCTAAAGGTTTTACAGTTCTTACAAAGTTTGTTTTTAAAGTAAGAAGTAAAAAAGGTCAATGGAGATCCTCTTTTACTCACCAATTTTCCAGGATTCCCAGACAAACCTCGTGGGCCACGCAAGCCAGGTTCACCCTGTTCAAGACGCAAAGAGACAGAATTAAGAGTCTTTAGCAGTTGGTTCATCCAAAGTGCCTACGACAGCCTGTGATGGCCAGTCTGGGTGGCTCAGAGCAGCACTGTGCAAAGTGTGGTTCTTCTGTTAGACTGCAGATCCATCATCCCTCACCAAAGGCTGATGGGAGTTGTAGTCTAACAACATACGGAGGGCTAGACTTGGCCTACAGCTGATTTAGGGGCAAGACAAAGAAGCCCTTATTAATAAGAAGACAATAATAATAACAAAGAAGACAATATTACTAATAAGAAGATAATAATAATAACAAAGAAGACAACATTACTAATAAGAAGACAATAATAATAACAAAGAAGACAATATTAACAAGAACAACAATATAAGGCACTTACTTTGTCACCTGGGCCACCTTTAGTTCCTGGTGTGCCTGGCAAGCCCTGTCAAGAAACAAAGAAAAATCATTTGTTGTAAAGCCCCTTGATACTTTATTGTCTGGCCTGCTTTAGGAAAAACTGGTTGCAAATAAGACGATGCATAGAGAATTCCTCCTAAGGAAAGTTGAATGAGGCATTAGTGAAAACTTTTAATGACTTGGGCCTTCAGGTAGCTAGAGCAGCCATTTTCAATGGGAGAGCGCTGGCACATTTGAAGGGGGCTATAGACTGGAAACTATTCTTCACACACCACCTTATAAAGTTCATTATATAACTTCTACAATCCTGGTTCAGCCTATATTTCTTTCATCTTGTGTTTCTGATCGTGGCCAAAAAAAAAAAGTTGAGAATGGCTGAGCTAAAGTATAGGTCATTTTTACCTTTTATGGCCAGAGCTCTACTAACACATAGTAAACAATGGAGCAGTAAGGGTTTTTCAATTTAAAAACAAAAAAAAAGAGTTACAAATGATACCTAACTAGACAGAAAGCAATTGCCTCCCTGACTCAAGGCTCTTACAGTGAATTTTCTAATCCTTAAAAATAGAAGGCCGTCTCTACAGCAGTTCTGTTCAATTCTGAGTTCCATTTGCAAGTCTGTTGATCCGATTAATATGTCCATTTCTTCTGCACTGAACACTTTCCTCAACCAGTCCTCACAAGACACAATCTTCTGTCTGATTTCTAATCTTCTACTATCACAATCTTTGCTGCCACCAACAAATTTTCTATAAGAGCCAGGTTAAGGGAAGAAGGAAAACAAAACCCATATACCCTGAGCTTGCTTCCTGATGATGAATAAAAAGGACTGGAAAAAATACTGGTAAGAAGAACGGATGTAACGGCACACTGAAGCTATTCAGCATGGGTAGGATGATGCTCTGTGTCCCCAGAGCTTCATCCTAACGCCTCTCCATCATGGACGGGTTCTACACATCAGATGTACCCAGCAGGTCCTAAACATGGAAAGTTGCAAATGTACCGAGTGCAGCTCTCGGATTGGGACGGAAAAAGGTACTTCACCGCAGACTTTGGGGACACCCTCCCTGCCTTAGTCACAAGCCATCTATGATTCCTCCCTTCAGGCACTATCATAAAACAGGGTCTGCATTAAAAGAATACTTACAGCTAAGCCTCGGTGGCCAGGGGGTCCCGGAAGTCCTGGTTGTCCAGCACTTCCCTACAAGGAAGAAGAAGTGAAATGAGGAGTTAGCCAACGAGCAGAGCAAGAATGAGTAAAAAGAAAGAGGGGACACTGTTGTAGCATTGGGGCAGAGGGGAATCCTCCCCCCAAAAAACTGAAGAGTTGTCACTGTTAGGAACACAGCTGCTCTCTCTGAGCATCAGTCCTTGGAATGATAAATAGTGATCATTATGAGTTGTTGAGTCAATGTTGACTTACGACTACTCTTTCCAGGGCTGAGCACTCAGAAGTTGTTACCTGTCCCTTCTTCTGGGGGCGCTCTAGGTACGTACCATTTGCCCAAGGCTTCACAGGCTGGCTTTTCACTGCCAGGAGGCAGACTGGGGAGTTGAATTCCCGACCTCCCACTGAGCTGGGCTAATAATAATGACTTGCTGCTTAGGGTGGTTGTATTACCATTAGACCATCCATATGAAGCACCAGAAAAAGTCATAACTGGATAACGTTAACTTATTTGGATCACAATTCTCAGATTCCTGCAGGCACATGGGAATTGTAGTCCAAAAGGGTAACATTTCACAGTTGTGGAAAAATAGATGCCTGCACAATCCTTCTGTGCTATGACTTTCCCCTCGAATCAGTTGGGGAGAAAGCCTCAGGCAGGGGACAACACCAGTAGCAAAATGCTGGAGTTCTTGCAGAACATGATATGTGGTGGGAAGTGAGTTTTGTTTCATACATAGAAAGAATATCGGTAGAATAAAGTCCTTTGCCTGAGGGCCTTATGGAGCAACCACCCTCCCCAGCAAAATATGTTACTTTATTATTAATTTTTCATCCTGGACAAGAGCTGCAGGAGACACGTCAGTTTTCCAAAATGCGTTGGACAAGGTCCAAACCCCGGGAGCACCTCTTTCCAGGTCTTTGAAGACTTATATTTTTGTGCTACAGCACTCACAATCCCCCCTGTGCGCATGGAGAGTGTGAGAGCCAAAGTCCAAAAAAAGTAACTTTTCCCCAGCTCTGACTTGGTACTTCTTGAGGAGATCTTCATACCTTCACTCCAGGAATGCCCGGGGTACCATCTTTACCATCTATGCCAGGAAGACCCTACGAGGATAGAGGGAGGAGAAGGTTAGTCCCTGGTGTCCGTTAATGGACATCGTGCCATCAGTTTGGGCATTGATCTAAGCTGGAAATCAAGCTAGCTTCTCCCCATGCCTTTCCCCCCAAAGTGCATCAGGTTTCAAGAGGCTTGGAAAACTGGATACTTACATTGGCGCCTTTGGGCCCCATTCCTCCCTGTGCGCCCCTAAAACCACGGGCACCCTAGAAGGTAAAGCAAACAAGAATCCCATTGTCAGTATGCCGAGCAAGCGTTGACCACACACAGTCCATGTGCCACATCTGGCTTTGTTTCCTACAAAATATACACAATATATTTAATTTGGAGGAAATCAAAGCTTGGGATTTGACTGCAAAGTAGAGGGGACAAAGCAACCCTATTTAACACCTTCTATTTATTTATTTAACTTATATGCCGCCCACTCTACCCAAAGGTCTCTGGGTGGCTTACAACAATCTGGGCAAGATAATTGGGCAGTCTAGCTGCACCTTCATGTAATGCTACCAGTGGCTATGGGTTATAGTAGAACCTCTATTTACAGAGGCAGTATCTCTGACTACCAGATGTGGGGAACCAAGAAAAGAATTTCAGGTCGCTGTATTTAGATGCAGAATCCCTGAATAAACAGACCCGACCCTAATACATCTAGACAGGTCTTATGTTCCAGTGTGTAATTATTGGAATGGATCTGACCCAACCGCCTTCTGAACAAACCCGTCTTCCCATGGAAAGCACGGCTGGAAGGACCCAGATGGCAAACTCTGCCAGCATGGTGCCTTTGTAGGGGTTAAGGAGGATTTCTGGACAAACTTCAGAAGCATTTCGGACTCCCGTCTCCTCCTTCTAACCAACAGCGGGAGGGTTGGAATCCAGTAATCCCTTCTGTACGAAGTCAACCTGCATCTTTGTCTGGGCAAAAGCCGAGTTAATGAGCAGGTGGGGGAAGGGTGGGAAGCGCAGGGTGGAAACTGGAAGCTCTTCTGAAGTTTCTGGTTCATGACCTAAAAGGCATTTTAAAAACAGCCTTTTAAAAACATATATACTTAGGTGCACAATGGGTGCAGGGCTGGGTAGATGGGGACATTCTCCTTGCAGTTGCCTTACAGAGCATTTCCTCCCAAAGTTGGCAAGCTGGCTGGAGGACCCCAGAAAGTGCCGTCCAAAAAGGACTGGCCCTTCCTAAGTTCTGGATCAAGCACGGGGGAACGGGAAGGTGCAGAACTCATTCCCATCAGACCTGCCTCACCAGTTCCACAAGGCCTTTGCTTTAGGTGGACCTTCCTGCCCCAGGAGCACCTGTGAGGCATTTTACCTGCATGTCCAAGCAGCGTTCAGGGGCAAGGCCCCAGCTGGGGTGGAGGATCTGCTTGACAGGGAGAAGGGCCCAGGTTTGATTCCAGGAAGCTGCAGGCGTGGTTGGGAAAGATTCTCATCTTTCCAGGGGAACTGATCCCTGACTGTGTGGACAATATTGGGCTAGAGATGGGCATGAACCGATTTGTCCCGGTTCGTCCCAGTTCGGAAAGGTGGCAGCACAGGTGCTGCAGTTTCCCTCCCTCCCTCCTCTGGCTCAAACAGCCCCTCACCAGGCCCAGCTTGCTTGCTTGCTTTTCCCATGTCTTTGGCTAATCTGCCAGTCACAAGCAAGAGCACAGTGGGAGATCAGCTGAGAGGGCAAGGCAGAGAAACCTGAGCTGTTGCCTGAACTGGGAGATCAGCTGAAGGGGTGCAAGAAGCTAGCACGACAGTGGCTGATTGAACCAGAGGAGACAAGGGAGGGGAGCAGCAGCACCTGAAACTGGATGAACTGGGACAAACCAGTTCGTGCCCACCTATATACTGGGCTAAAGGTACCAATGACCTTACCAGAACAAGGACGCTTCCTCTATTCCGAATATTTCATCAGGCTGCTATATAGCATAATCCATAGGCAAAACTTGTATTAGCTATCCCTGCTGGTGTCGTGCTTTCAGCGACAAACTGCTACTAACTGTTAGTGCAGGAACCTGCTGTTGTGCACTGAATCTCATCACACAGCAAATGCCTACACTAACATCTTAACCGGTAGCAGTTAGCTGCCAAGATGTGCATCAATTGTGTTACACGGCTGTAAAATGTCAATAGGACTTTGTCCATCCATCAACACAACAGGGGGAGAATTGTAAATAAAATTCATTTGTTCATTCATTTATTCATTCATTTGTTGGTTGGTTTGTTTATTTACTTACTTACATACATTTCTATTAGCAGAGCCACTGCCCACCTCAAAACCCTTGCTTTAGAGACCGACAAATATATATGAGTGCCCTCTCTACAGGTCTCCCTGTCTCATGAAGACGGAACTTCGTGCCCCAGTGAAATGCTCTACTCACAAGGTCTCCTTTCTCCCCCGCCTGTCCTGGTGGGCCTCTAGGACCTTCTTCGCCCTACAAAGAAAAGCATTAGGGTGAACAAGAAAAGCAACGAGAGAGGAACATTTTTGCAGCCTCTCTAACAATGACCGATCTTCAGAGAACGTAAACCCGCCCAACACACAAGCTTCCATGTACGTTGCTCAGATTCCAAAGGTTTGCAGGGCAAGAATCAGAAAGGGCTTCCATTTCCAGGTCTGCCTGCACAAGAAAAACTTAAAAATGGCTTCTTCTTTGTTGCACTCACGCCATGAGAAATATGCACCTTGTTTGCCTCAGCAGAACCTACTCCTTTCTCTACTTCCCTAAGAGCCAAAAAGATATTAGAAAAGTGGGGGCTTTGATACAGGACAGTGGTTCCCAATCTTCGGTCCCAGAAGCCTTCACCACTAGGTGTGCTGGCCAGGATTTTTGGGATTTGTAGTCCAAGAACATCTGGAGACCCAAGGTCTCCACTCTCAAGAGAGGAAGTCCAACAATATTTTCTAACCTCTAAGATGCCAGTTCAGGGATCAAAGAATCCTAACCCTAGTATAGCATTTATACCACACTCTTCAGTCAAAAACAGTCAAAGCAGCATACAAAAATATGAACACAAATGTATCAAAACAGAATAGAAAGGTAGGAAATCAGTACATCATTTGTAAACAAACAAGGAACAGGGTTCTTCATTCTAGCTTTCGGTCCCCTTATTAAGAAATAAAGAAACAAGGGAAACAATGACAGCTGAAGCATCAGAAAGAGGGTGGTGAACAAGGACAGAAGTCAAATACGAAAGGACAGAGACACACAAAAAAACAGGGCCCAGTTTTAGTGAAACCAAGTACATGAGACACTTTGAAGGATCGAAATGCTCTCAGGAAGGGAAGGATTTATTCAGCTTGTATCCGGTCACCACATCAAGCAGTTGTTGTCTGAAGGGCCCTCTTTCCGTTCAAGATGCGGCTGCTTCTACTGTTCAAGCGAACAAGTAGGAAAATGGTAAGGGACTCACCGGGGGGCCTGCGGCTCCGATGGTTCCGACCATGCCTTTATAACCACGGGGACCCTGTAAGAAATAGGAGACTTTTAATGAAAACGTTGAACCGCCAAGCATCTGCAGCAAAGCAGATGTAAACGTTCCTTCACCTGCATCCAGTTGTGTTGCTACAGCATCTCCATAACACAGGGATGGAGAATCTGTGGCCTTCCAGAATGGGTTAAACTCCTGCTTCCATCAGCCCTTGCCAACACAGCCAATCATTAAGGATTCGAGGAGCTGTAGTCCAGTATCTGGAGGGCCACAAGCTCCCCATCTTGGCTGAAACATCATATGCTATGGGATAACTCCCTACAGGCCCCCCACACACACACAGAAGGGCAATGAAACCTACATAATGAAGGCAACAACGTTATATCAACACTGGGATGGGCATTGTTTGCTTTAAACTATACATTTTTCTCCCTTTCTCCCATATAATTTAATCTTGAATATATTGAGCTCACCCCATGAGTTATGATGATATCAACACCCTGACTGTTTTGACTCTCCTGAGAAACCTACCGTCTCTCCTTTAGGTCCTTCCATTCCAGGGTATCCCCTGAGACCTTGCGGGCCCTGGAGAGGAGAGGGGACGGGACAGAAGTGGAGAGAACGGGGGACAAAGGAGAGGAGTCAGATTATTTGTTCACTTCTGGGCAAAATCTTATTTTACAGACCATTAAAGCTGATCAGCATTTTCATCCTCTGCCTGTTTCCCTGGCTGTCACTTTGGAAAGAAAATCCAGGAATGGGTGAACCATGAGGATATGCAAATATATGCACACTCGTGTGTGTGTGTGTGTGTGTGTGTGTGTGTGTGTGTGTAAGTAACAGGTTCTCCCCTCCCCCGCCAACAACCTCTTTTCTGTCTGATTCCCCGTGATTACCTTCTAATGTCGATATTTCACGGCAAAAGCTCCGTTCAAGACATTAGTATAATAATGGTATTAATTCCAAAGCCTGCATCATTTAATCAAGCAAGAGAAGGGGAAGAAATCCACCGCCTTCAAAATAAAGCCAGTTCCCTGCCTGTTAATTCAGTTTTATCATCAAAGCGGAATGGCTTTTAATTAACAAATTGCACGGAGGGCTTGTTTTTAGTAGAAGCAAAGAGCAGAACACCACAGGGACAAAGCAATATAAGCCGAAATGCAGGGGCCAACAGACATTTCGCAAATTCTTTCCCTCTGCACCTCCCTCGGTTGCCTCAGAACTCCATTGACTGATCTGTCCACGGAGTTCATTGACTGATCTGTCCACGGAGTTCATTGACAGATCAATTGTCACCCTTCTGATCATCACCCTGCCACCCATAAGCAGCCAGACTTTGCCTACTGAGAATTCTAAAGAATCTGCTTCAGGAATGTGGGCACTGCCATTCTAAAGCCTTTGAATATTTTCCTGTCGTCAGCGCTTTCTCTGCCAGTCCTGTTTCCAGGGATGTTGGCAACTCTTTGGGTTTGAGTCTGAGTCTTTGGACCAAGACTGAGTCCCAATTAAAAACCAGCTTTTTCCCCCCAGGAAAAAAAGAGAGAGAGAGTTAGTGGTTTCCAAGTCGTGAATCAAGTTTGAGTCATTGGAGGACAGAAGCCCACCATAACAGCGGTAGATTTCTCATCCTTGTTGCTAAAGGTCTAAAACCTTCTGAAAGCCCTCAGTTCCTTCAAGGGAGAGGTATGAAAGATTGCGAAAAGAAATGAAAACATTTTATCATGTATTCCATGGGGGAAAGCTGAAAGACGCATAATGCTAACTTTTGAAACTGGATATACCCACTTCTGACACATTCCTTTTGTGAATTTCGTTGTATGTGTATATACTTACAATGACAATAAATTATTATTATTATTAAAGGAATATGAAACATGTTACATATAACAATCTCGGTAATATATAGGTTGAAATCTGGTAGTGAGTTGCAATTAAAGTAGGATCATTGAATCAGTGGGGATTTGGTGAGTTAACATCCGTGTAAGTTCCACTGATTCAATAGGCCTGTTCTACTTGGACTTCAGCCATAGTGCATGTAGGAAGTTAAAGAAAATCTGAAGCATATATTCTTTAGGATTTCCAATAACTGCAAGACATCCAGAAGTCAGGGGCACACTGGGGGGGGGGGAGAAGGCTTATCCCACAATAGTGGGATAAGGTACCCCTCTTCCTCTGACCACAGGCCACCTATTTCAGAATGAAGCTGCTATTCCCTAAATACATCACCCATAACTGGCCCACTTTTTTCTTTGCCTATTAATAAGTAGAGACTGTGAACAACAACAATAAACATTAACATAGTAGTAATCAAGAAGGAAGGTCATTTATTTGGGCTTAGAAGCTATAGGTGGTTAACTGTACCTGGCACAGGGATGTAGACAACTCTGTTCGCCTATGGTGAGTAACAGTCACCTCCAAGTGATCAGTTAAGGGAACTTTTGGAAACTGGCAGCATTTTGGAGTGCCAATTTCTTTCCAGAATATGGGTCATATATGAGTAGAAAGGGCCCTCTGATTTTTTTTATTAGTATTATTATTATTTTGCAGTCTGGTAACTTTATTCAGTTTATCTGCAAGGCTGATCATGCAGAAAACATCAAAACAAGGTATGCTCTTAACGCCATTTTGACTCTTTAAAAATATTTATAAATAGGCTGTATTTCAAAATCCACTCATTTCCAATATTTTCACATCAAGCTTTGAAGTGCGAGATTACGTGGGCCTGATACAAAGGAATTCCAGATAAAAGAAAGCTGCTTTTTTTTACAATCTAGGGCACAGGACAAAGGTAACAAAAGCAACAGAGTGAAGAGAAATAAATAAATAAATACGTTACGGGAGGCCCTGGAATGCCTTGTTCTCCGGAGAGCCCTACATCACCCTTTGGCCCCTGCAGAAATTAAAAAATGAAAATGAAAATGAAAAACAAAAGACATCAGAACTCAGAGCAAACCAAAAGTTCATCAACCAATTTTGAAAGACAGTCTTTAAACTGGAAATATAACTGTGAAATAGAATAAGACAGAACTCCATTTTTAAAAATCTGTATTCTCCCTATATATTTCAGGAACAGCCACTTCTAGATTCCTCAGTATCCTTTCCCATTGACGCAGGATGGTATTTAATGCCCTAGGATTATTTTCCACAATAATTTCAATTCTACCTTTATTCTATCTTTTTTTAAAAAAAATCTCCACAGCTTTATCTTCTCTTCTGCCTGTTTACCTATCATCATCTCCTCAAGACCAAGTGAATGACACTCTGGTTACATACATTTGTGTCCAGTGGTGCTTCATGTATAAATGTAAACATTCGTGCAATCTGTAAAGCACAATCAAGTCACAACAGGTGTAGGGATGCAAATATATATACACTGTATATAAATCTTACAGGGAGCCAAGAAAACCTGCATGTCCCTCTTAAATATACATATCTCCAATTGCTAACCTAGGTTTGCTGCTGCATAATAGCAGAAAAGGGGAATATATGAAGATAGTGACAGGTTTTACTTTCATGGACTCCATGATCACTACAGATGGTGACAGCAGCCATGAAATTAAAAGACTCCTGCTTCTTCAGAGGAAGGCGATGACAAACCTAGACAGCATCTTTAAAAAGCAGAAACTATGCGGACCTTGCTGACAAAGGTCTGCATAGCCAAAGCTATGGTTTTTCCAGTAGTGATGTATGGAAGTGAGAGCTGGACCATAAAGAAGGCTGACCACCGAAGAATTGATGCTTTTGAATTGTGGTGCTGGAGGAGGCTCTTGGGAGTCCCTTGGACTCCAAAGAGAATAAACCGATCCGTTCTGAAGGAAATCAACCCTGAGTGCTCACTGGAAGGACAGATCCTGAAGCTGAGGCTCCAATACTTTGGCTATCTCATGAGAAGAGAAGACTCCCTGGAAAAGACCCTGATGTTGGGAAAGAGTGAAGCCAAGAGGAGAAGGGGACGACAGAGAATGAGATGGTTGGACAGTGTCATCGAAGCGACCAACACGACTTTGACCAAACTCCGGAAGACAGGAGGGCCTGGCATGCTCTGGTCCATGGGGTCACGAAGAGTCAGACATGACTAAACGACTAAACAACAACAAAAATAGCAAAAAAGCCCCATGCTTTACCCAGGCTATGTTCCCCCACTCCTTAGAAACCTGTCACAAATACAGTGAAAAAGAGTAAAATGGCAGAACACCGTTGGTATCAACTCACCGGCCTCCCTTGTCTTCCAGATTCTCCCAGGGCTCCTGGCCGGCCTCTGTGTCCCTAAATAGGGGGAAAGCCAATGTTTCCAAGTTGATCTGAGGCTCACATTCCATCAAACAAAATTACATCTCTCCATCCAGCTCAGATGGGATTTGTTTTTGACTGCATGGAATCTAAACAAACACATGCATAGAGACACCATACAGGTGGAAAGAGATTGAAATCCAAGTAAAACTGAACACTGTCATGTTCCGGGACAGAAGACAGAAGTTTGGGGAATTTTTTTTTTCTTATGTATCTCTCCCTGAATTCCCAGTTAGCAAGACCATCGGCTGAGGGATTCTGACAGTTTTAATCCAAAAACGTACTCTTTTTCTCCCCTCTTGGAATGGACTTGCTGCATCTATCAAGCTATATATAGATACATTCAAGTGCTTAAAAGTTGTTTATACACATTTTTTTCAGGTTTTGTGTGTATTTTTCCTATTGACCAAAGCATGTTATGGCATACTTTTCAGTTACATGCAATTTTTTTACCATTTACCTTTTTTTATAGTACCGTTGTACCTTGCGCCTGGCAAACCCCTCTCAAACTGAGACAAAGCAACCTATCTTCCACAAAAATTCGTGATAGGATGGAGAGCACTTTCCTTTGAGTTGCTCAGCGCCTCCCATAGAGGGAGTGCCATCAGTTGAATTGCCTAGCAACCATCTCAGAGGGGGGAAGGATGCCACAGTTTTTGTGTAGGCCCAACTCATAATTTAAGACAGACACATGACAACATCTGCCTTATCAATTGTTTAATAAGGTCTGCGTCAAAGTTGTCAGGAGTGTAGCGGGCCTAGCCATCTTTCCCTTGAAGCTGTTTATCCCTGCTAATTTAATTCCTCTTTAAGTTATCTAACTATCCCAGATCTTCCCACATCCAATCCCTAGTAAAGCATGTTAGCTGGAGGAGATGTTAAGACAAGCAGAAAGCAGGCTGAGAAAAGCAATCCAAGGATCTTAACAATCCCGGTCAGCTCTGCCTACCTCAGGGGATCCGGGAAACCTTCTGAATTTTCATAAGACCATGTCCTCTTTTTTCCAGAGCCTGGGAATGGTCCTTTGTGGACTACATATCCTATCATACCCCAGCCAGCATGGTCAGTCACCATGGCTGGCAGATTCTGGGAAGTCAGTTGTCCCAAAGAAGTTACGCTTTCAGTCCCTGAATAGGAAAAGAGTACCATGTCGGGACAATCTTAAGGCTTTTCTGTCCATGCTTGAGTCCATATTAAGAACCCTGAGGGCCAAAGCTGATGATCCAGGTGATGACCACATCAGATTAGGGTAAACTCAAGGAATGAGGGTCTGTGGGTGGATGGTCTCTCCTGGAAATGCTAGGATTTGATCTGAGCACCTTGCACGGATCTCCAACCGCTCTCCGCTCTCCGAACCCAACAAAAGGGAAACCAGGCTGAACTTTACCTTGAGCCCTAGCAGTCCTTGAGGTCCTTTTGGTCCAGGTGGGCAGTTGGTTGGACACTGTATCGATAGACCAGGAAAGAGAAGGAAAAGAAATTAGAGAGCTCTTTTTCAACAGGAAGATATTCAGTGGCTGGAGGTAAACAATCAACAGGGAAACGGGGATGAGCACCCTAGAGTCGGACATGACTGGACTAAATGTCAAGGGGAACCTTTACCTATTTGAGTGCTCATGTTCTCCAGCAAATATTATTGGTTACCCCACCACCTCTGATCCGGCATGTGTACTAGTAGACCGCTAGAGTGATTGTCCTACATTTAAAGAAGGCTGACAGATCTCTCAGGCCCCGGATGCCTGGGCGATCTGTAAACAGAAAAGGAAGATGATGCGGATGGAAAGAAACCCCCTTTCCTTGTTCTCTGAATATCTGCAGGTAGCAAGGATGGCAAGAGACTGGGGAAGTCCTTCGCTGGCTACTTGTCCCCTTGTTAGGTGCTTTTTAGAACAAAAATCTATTTCAGAAAATGAGAAAGTGGGCTCAAAAAAAATTGAAGATTCCCCTCAAAACACTCAAACAAAGAATTCTGAAGCCCAGAAAAATAATGGGGGGGGACAGGAATGGGCAGCTCACGGGCCAGGTCAGGGGGGCACATCACTCCAAAATATAGAGCTCCCCCATGGTCACGAAAGAACGGCTACACAAAGCACGCAGTCCAAAAACGATGACCCAATGACTCATTGTAACATATATATATTTTTTTACAAAAGGAATTGAATGATGCATCCTTTGGCCCACAAAAAGAACACCTGATAGGTAACGTCATTCCTTGGAAGGTCTTATCTCCTGATTTGCAGCCGGGAAAGCGGTCTCCTCTCCTCCGCGCTGGCAATCATGGCCAGCTGGAATTTTGCAACCCCAGCAAGAAGACAAAAAATCTGCCCCTCTTGATGGAGTCCTTTTTCATCCGGAGATCCTGGTGATTAAACTCAAGCCTTCCTGCATACAAAGCGTGCATCGCAGAGCCCTTGAGCCGCAGACCTGCCGTTTCCTCACACTGTTATATTTTTACGGCTGCTGTTTTAATATTCTTCTCCTAAAGCCAGTTTTATTGAGTCAGGCTGAGGTCCATTTTTAATGTTCTATCTTGAAGAGCTTGTATAGCTTTTCTTATTTTTAAAAGGGAGTTTGGGGATCATTTTATAGTATATTTCTGCAGTTGTATTTTTTTACTAGCTACCTCATTAGTGTGCTTTCTTTATGGGTTTTCAATTAAAAGGAATCTTTGTTTGGCTTTACTGTTCTTTCCCATTGCCTCGTGGATCCAGGGCGCAGGTTGTTGACTTGCAAATATAAGGCATGCATCCACTCTTGAGCTACAGAGACTTCCAGGAAAAAAATATATTTGGAAAAGACCGAACCTGCCTCTTCATCTTGTGGAGCTAGAATTTAAGATCATACAATGGAATTGAGGGGCAATTGTTTCAGAATTGACAAAAAGCCTATCTTAGCAGATTCCTATATACTTGCATAAGGAAAATCATGAAAACTTAACAGCAAATTGCCAAGTGTTGATTGTATTCCTGGGTGTGCAGTGATGTATCAGTGGATCTAACTTCCCCAGGCTCTGCGTGAGAGCGATTCGACAGAGCTCTCCTTAAAATGCCTCTCTGTTCAGTTTGTATGCCCGTGACTACCGTTGTGTTAGGTATGTGTGTGGGTAGCACATCACGAACGGTTAGAACAGAAGACATAAATCCTCCACCGTACCAGAAAATCAGCACTGCCTTCAACGCCTTCGATGCGGCCAACGGGGCCCTTGAGGAAGAATAACAAACAATTAAGTATCAGAAAAGGCAGGACCTTTCTCCAATTTCAGAACTAGAAGGTAAACATTAGCTCTGGATTTCAATGGGCAGAAAGGAACTGAGGCTCACAGGTATGTCACAAATACATTTCACGGCTTGAAATGGGAGAGAGAATTGGTGTAGTCAGTCTGCAGAAGAAAAGATCATCATAGGACAAGCAATAGCCCCATGGCTAGAGTTTCTTTTACAATATAGTAGATGCTCCCTACTTTATGACCTATTGGTTCCTCGCCAACGGTCATTAAAGCAAACCCTGGTAAATTGAGCCCTGTTTTACCACTGAGGTTAGTATCAAAATGGTTGTCTGGTTGCAATCAAGTTCTTAAGCCTCAGATCAACCCTCCTTCTGACCCTCTTGGCCATTCTTCCACACATCTTCCAGTCGTGGCTATGAAATATTGGTTGAGTCCAAAGGGGCGGGACTAAGAAAGAGTGGGGCCATGAATAAGAAATTTGGATCAGAAAGAGCAGGAGAGCTGGAGCTTCTGAAGCCACTTAAAATGCTAATTGAACTGATATTTTATTTTAAGGTCTTGAAGACTCTGCATGTGGAGCTGATCCTTCTGGGTTCTGGATACCAAACCCAGCCGAGGAAGATATATCTCAGAACTTTTTTGTTCTAAATTTGAATTCAAAAAGGACCCTCGAACTTTGCAATTCTATCAGCAACTTCTGTATCGATGCTGTTGCTGAGAACTTGGATGCAGAAAGCGCAGCATCATGTTGTCTGTTCTATTACTGTGAATTAAGAAGAGACTCATTTTGTGAAATGGTGTTCGCAAGGTTCATGAACAGGTATTTAAGTAAACAAATAGCCCCACAGAACTTAAAGTATGACAAGCACAGTTCATGACAGGTGGCTGCGCTTGCTACAGAAGTTTTACGGTGCCTCCCCGGGGGCCACCACTTTTAGTACAGAGTACACTCAGCACTGTCTTGTCTGTTCCAACACAATATACGACACGAACATTTTAGAGATCATAAAAGTGAGTTTGAGACGCTCATTAAGAGCATTGGGTAACACCCGAGTGTTCATAAAAATGGTGCCTTCCACAGCAAAGATGTTGTAAATCAGGGGTCTCCTGTATTGCAGTCACACTTCTTCCTGAACTACACTTGTGGGCCCGTTGGTTGACTGCCAATTCCATCGGCAGTTTCAACTCCAGCTGGGCAAAAGTACCCTCAACAAAAGTAGTAACAAAGCTTACCGGCTTGCCAGGAGGTCCGGGGGGGCCTTGGGGGCCATCGGGTCCACGCACGCCCTGGAAAAAAAAAGAAACCACCAGTAGATATGGAAGTGCTTTCACGGCTAACAACAAATTCCAAAAGACAACCCCCATCTACCATTTCTGCATCAAGACTGCCCAAGCCAACATCCATAAGCTCTAGTAATGGGAAGGCACTCCATAGAGATTTTTTTTAACCCCAAATATGAGCTACTGACAGTAAGGGCTGGGAAACATGAAGAGCCAGACATTTAAAGGTTCTACTGAACTAGAAGGAGAGAAGGGATGGATGGTAGTGTAGACTTAACATAAGGATGCAATAAGAACTGATAAAAATATATCTGTGAGCAGAGTTGATAACAGACAATGAAAAAAAAATGAAAGACTATACATTCTATCTCTTTTAGGGTCAAAATAGATTTTAGGGATGGCACATAATAAGCCAACTTTGCTTCCTAAAATAAGATTTCTTCAGCAACCTGCAAATGAAGCTTATGTTTCCTTTTTGAGGACCAACCACAAAACAAATCACACTAAATGCAAAATACAGAGGTGAGGAAAATCATGGGCAACTACCATCATTTGTGTTATGTAGTTTTTAATTCCACTTTTTAAAAAATTTCAATGCCCTTCTTAATGCATTTAGTTGATTTTAACCGTTTCTCCGGCAGAGTTCATTTTACTTGATTTCTTGATTTTTCTAGTTAAATTTGGCTTTATTAAATTATTTTACATTCTTTTATGAAATCTGTAAGCCACCTTGAGCACTACTTTCTATTAGAAAGTCAGGGCATAAATGTATGGAATGAACAAATGAACGAACAAATAAACAAAATTTGCCACCAGCGTCAAGTACTCTATTTTGGTTAATAACAGGGCCAGCCCATATGGATCACTTACCTTGGGACCCAGAGCTCCGATTTCTCCTGGCAGTCCAACCTGGCCGGGAGGACCCTTGGGGAAAGAAAAACAGAGAGAGAGAAACAGATTTCTCACCACACCCTACCCGAGTCATATAGATCCCATTCAATAAAAGGGAAATGCGCTAGGAGAGACTTTAAATTCATCAAAGGATTTCTACCAGGGAGGAAAAAGAGATGACAGACCTTCTCCCATGAACACTAAACTACTCCATTCACTCTTGCAAAAACATAGTACCTCTCTCTCCCATCTGTATGGACTTCAGTGAACATCCTTGCACTGTGACTGTAGCACAGAGAATGGGCAGAGGCAGAGAGCCTATCCAGGCTTGCATTTTAAAAC